TTGACTCTGGGTGAGTACATCGATGGCTGTTTCATTGGTGTTGCTCACAGGCAGCACGGCAACGCACTTGTCCAACAGTTTGGGTGGAAGTAGGTAGAACGCGTTTTCATTCAGCACAGGCGCACTCTCTCTAGTGTACTTGGGTTTCTTGCTACCCGCGTTGTTGTACTTGGTTTGGAGTGGCAGAACACGACGTAGAGTGTCTTGAAGTGGAGGCTTCTCAAGTTGAAGACTGCGCGCAAGTTGTATTAATGTCACCTCTCCAAGACATCTTCTATGGGCTTCTGACTCGTTAAACAACGCTCGTTTCTTCTTGTCGTCTGTTTCTCTCTCCTTTCTGTTCAACCGGGGCCTACCAGACTTCGCAGCTTTGGGGTTCAGACGGATGCGCAATCCACTATCAGTATTTTTCTCTTCGTTGTCATCAGGAGTGGTCTCAAGCGCAAGCTGCTCCATTTCGGGCTTGGTTCCGGTTCGATTTCGGCTGGTTGTCACTGGAGAGGTCACTTCATCTGTTTCTGTTTCTTCTCTCGTGACTGGAACCTTCGTTTTTTCAACCTTTACACGTTTGCGCTGCCTAATGTTCCTCCATTGTTGCACGACGAAGTCTAAATGCTCACGGTACTCGTCGTCATCAGAGATATCGGCTAGCTCACTGCATATAGCCTGGAACGCGCTGACTGCCTCCTTGTACTTAACATTAGCGTCAAGCACCTTGTGTTTCGCCTCCCCTGGCTTAAACTCATTAAGCACAAAAGGCCGCGGAGTCATCAGTTGTTCAGCAGGATGTAACCATCTAAATGAGTGACATGTCAGACCCTCAGTACAACATCACTATTGGATATTACATGGACAACTCACGGCTTATACGTGGATAAATTGTGAGTTAACCCACCTTTCATCGATGCAACTCAGCGGTATTACGCTTCCTGGGGCGTTACTCCACTTCCGAAACGCGATCGCGTGTTGACAAGGCAGACGCTTTGCAGAAGCAAACGAGCAAGTGCAGCTCCACGTTTTCAAATCCACAGCATGCGTCTTGTGTTTACCCGTCACCTCCACGAAGCCTGGATTTGACTTTAAGTCGAAATTGAGCTTGTCGACCTTCGAACATGCCATTACGTACTCCTTCTCCACGTGTGTTGCTACGAAATGCGTCGTAAAGCGCAAAACTTGGCACATCTCCTCGTCGTAGTTGCGGTTGACACGTAACCCGATCCTAGTCTTGTCGAACACGTATTCACTGGAAGTCCTGGCATCAGCACCCACAAGGGCCTTCACGGTGTCCGTCATGGTCATGTTGGAGTTTACCCCGTCCTTAAAATGCCCAAACCAATTCTCTAAATGGTTGTTCGTGTGGACGCGCAAATGTGCCAACCGTGAGCGTTGGTACATGACCCACATCTCCGTACAAGTGTTCCAGTTTTCATCCATGTAGTTGTAAAATGCCATATATCCAGTCCTAGTGCAAAGTGCCTTCATGGAGGTCCAATTGGTCTCGTAGATCTCTGAACTTAAGGCATATACCATGTTGTGGACTAATGCGTCGATGGCGTCGTGATCGTCCGACGAAAGTTTACCATATTCTGACTTCCTGGACGCTGTGCGGAGATATTTGATGACGTGAAAGACGCAAATCAACACGCGCGACTTAGGGAAGTACCGACGCAACACGCGGATCTCATTCAGATCTTTGTCGACCATTATAACTTGAACCTTGTCGCCAATCTTATCGTCAATCCGAAATAGATGATCCAGCGCTCGGGACATCTGCCAATCGGCGTTTCGTTCGAGCAAAGACTGTTGTACAGGCTGCCCACGCCCATTGTCGTCTATCATCATGAAGGTACAAAGCTGGTAGTTGTATCTAATGCACATTACATGGACAAGAATCGCACAATACATGGGCATGACATTAAAATAAGCATGGACAATACATGGACAAATAATTGCACAATACATGGGAGGACTTACCGATTCGTTTTGTGGGTACAGTCCACAAGCAAAAGCTCTGGAAACCTAGTAACCATGTCGCGCATATGTCTGGAAGTCATACTGATCACACCAGAGTGTCCCGCATCAGTTTCGTCCACCGTGACTACGTTACCGTCAATAGCTGCGAATTCCGCGAGAGTTGCGGCGCAAGCGTCGTCGTCATTCAACCCTCCTCTTATCTCTGCTTTAACACGTTGCACAATGTTGTCCACATCCTTCTTGACGAGGTTCTCGCCTCTCCCCAGAAGATACTCATAGATGCGTGCGCGCTTTCTACCGTACATCACCATGCTGTCCACAGCATCCTTCGTGTCCGTGTCGTCCAACCTACGGTTCTCCGCGTACGTCTTGAACTGCGCTATCCCCACCGCATGGTTGTGCTGGTACACACCGTTCTTCACGCGAAGGCAGCATAAGCCGTCAACTTGCACGAGCTGCACCACAAATCGAAATGGACAACCGCATCCTCGGACGAAGTGCTTGGTTCGCAATCCGCTGCTCCTGTCTTTTGCTGGCCAGCCATGTGTGCAGATGTATGTGCGTTGGTAAGCACCCCACGTCTCTGGTACGTACGGAACATCCATTCCCTGCTTTGCTGCCGCTGTTTGACCCAGCCGCTTGTTTCTCAATACGCAACTAAGCGTTGACTGGATGCGGATGACCTGGCGGGAATTTACCGAGTAAGCCTTCAAATACTCATTCCACGCCGACCAGCTCGGATACGTCACGTCTGCGGGGCCCTCCACAAGGGAGGGAGAGTCTACGACCTGGACAATACATGTACGCTTGAAATCGTCCGTGTCAGGCGAGGCGTCGTCCGAGTTTGCAGCCGCGCCGGAGGCTGCGGAAGCCGTGGTGTCGATATCTGAAGAGGAGTCGGACGATCCACCCTGTATTTACAAATAGATAACGCACGGTTAGAAACACGTTCACAGAGACCACAAACAGCAGATAACGCACCTCAGACGTCGCGGAAGCGGGTAGACTGAGCGACATGGCCGGCGATTGCAGCAACGGTTGATCTCGTGACGTAGGCTGCGGCGTGCAGGTAACGGAGCGGCGGCGGCGGCAATGCTCGAAGGGGGGCGAGTTTGGGTTTGAAAAGCAAATGAAAGGCTGGTGTGATTGGTACAACTACCGGTATACAGTATTGTACCGGTATTAACTACATAGATCACATCGTGGACAATACACGGATGAGAGTTGGACAATAATTGCACTCAACGACTGGGTTGTTTTTATAAATTACCGAATGAAAATATTTTACATCATGGACATTACATGGAGTATTACATGGAAAATAAGCGGATTTGACGCATGGACTGTAGCATTTCCGTTTTTTTAATTAATAGAGCACTGATTTAATAATTATTAAAACGACTACTACTAAAGATTGCAAGCAAAAATATGAAAGAAATTTATAATAGTTTTACGCAAATCAATCTTGTAAGTAAAATTATTAAAAGCATTCTACGAAGCTTAACATAATATTCGTTTGCAATAAGTACTAAAATGACTATTTGAAACGAAATGTGCATCGCCAGGTTCTACAAATTTTATTACCAGCTCAGAAGAATATATAATATCTGTGTGCACATCGACGCATCCTACTATCGCTAACTAACGTGCACACAGGGGGCGCCCTTCGCGTGCCGTGGTGCTCCACGATCGAAAATGGGGGCACAATGAAATTTGAATGGTAGCTTGTGAGAAGCAGTGTACGCCGTAATGGTGTTCGTTGGTGCTTGGCGGCCCTTGCCACCAGGTAGGCGAGGCCTCCCCTTTGGGCGTTTTCGTTGCGTTGGACTCATCTGCGGCTTTGAGAAGTGAGACCAGTACATGTACTAGATAATGAACGCAAATTACTGGTTGTCAAGTCGTGTAATTGATAACTAAGGATGCACGGCACTCAGCGTTTGGCGGCTTCTGATTGGCCACATTGAAGTGTAATTGATAACAAAAAAATAATTCATAACTAAGGTTATTCGGTACTAGAGTATCTAGACAAGAACGGTAGTATTGCGCCGCAATTTACAAGTTCTACCCTGATTTACCAGCTAGCAAATTTAATTGCCGCCGTATCCTCAGTTATTCATGGCGTCGATCTCTTCACAAGATCGTCGCTGCGTGCACAGTCCCTAAAGAAGCCAAGGAGATGAAGGCACGTTGTAGTGGTGTAGCTACCGCTCTACCTTACTCAGTAGAGTTGAAACTTGTTCGCTGGGTCGGGGACCTACGGGACGAAGGGGTGCCAGTCACACCAATGATGCTAAGGTTGCAGGCACTCGCAGAAGCTAACGAAGCCGGTATCCACGCGTTCACGGCATCCTGGAGTTGGCAGAGCCTGTTTAAAGGCCGCCATCGCTTAGCCCTTCGAGCTAAGACCCGCCAGGGTCAAATTTGCCCTCCCGAGCTCGACCAGATTGCAATAACATTTGCTAAAGAAGTACATGAGAAGGCACAAAGCCTTGGAGTCACCAAAATCTACAACGTGGACCAAACAGGTACATTTAAAAAAATTATTCTCTCTTGATCGACACAGTGTAGAGCAGTTTACGCTAGACGACGACTTTGATGGTGAACTTGCTCAAATTTAAATAGACTGTTTGTTCAAAGATATACGATAGCCGGGACACGCATTTTTTGGTCTCTGCACTGCAGATTGGGTGTAATGCATAACTAAGGTAATTCGGTAAGTACGATGTGTAGACCACATACAGTGTGTGCACAACATAAAGCGATTTTAGCCAATCGACGCCGCCTTCGCTACGCTCGGCAGGTGCGTTTCATTTTAGAACCCTAACGGACTGACAGACACAGACCACACTAGACTACGGACCTTTGAGTCAAAGGCTTTGACTAGCACTTATAACAATTGGAGTACAGTCTACCGGTATTATGAGCATTTAGTAAATAAATATACTTTGTCTTTCCTCGCAATATTTCTATCTGGTGTCAATAAGGATTGCATTCTAACGCGCGACACAGAAGGTCCCAGTCTCCAATCAAAAGAAGACGACGGCTGCAGTGATATCGTCAACCACGTCTTCTTCAGCATCCCATCGATCGCACGCCTCTTCTACAAGCGCTGTACACGCTTCTTGAGGTGACATTCTCGAGTCAACGATGCACGCAGACACAAAAGCGATGCATTCGTCTGTTGTCATGAACTCCCAAATGCCGTCACTGGCGAGTACTGCGAATGCAGGCGGTTTCTCCCCATTTTTCTTGTCTGCACTGCTGAACTTCAGCTCTTCCACTGCAGTCACGTCAGGCTCTGCTGTCACCCCTACAGTCTTGGCCACCGAGTCACCAAACGAGCGTGACATGGCCAGTCCGGGCATATCGACGTCTTGCAGCCAGACTCGATAGGACCCCCACTCGAACACTCGTCCATTATTCCGCTCAATTCGAGCACATTCCTCTGGTACATCCGGTTTATGATCCTTCGTCTCGCAGTGCAGCTCATATCGTTTACTCTTGTCTGAATACCTCGCCACTACAGCTCGACTGTCTCCGAGATTGGCAATAAATACGTCCGTCTTGCGCACTAGCATAGCCACAGCTGTGGTGCCGCTCACACTGATGTCGATGGCGCTAGCGTCCAACTCACCCACAACTGTCCGCGCTGCTCGCTGGAAAATATCTGACGCGATGTCGCACGAGACACTCGCTTTCCTAGTTAGCACACTTGCTCCATTGCTATTGGCAGCAGAAGCCAGCCCTGTATACGCCTCTCTAACTGCTCGATGGTATTGTTCTCTTACAAAATGGCTCACAAAGGCCCCCTGGGGTCCGTGGCCATCAAAAACCGAGAAGAAAGTAGCGTCTGAGTCTCCAGCCAGAGCGTCACAGACACACAAAGCGTCCTGATTCTCCTTACGACGTCGCAGCGGGTCATTGCCTGCTCTGGAGTGCGTGCCCCACTGTAATCGCCCGTTTGTGGATCTGTAGCCTCCCTCTCGGACGCTTGTGAACTCTGGCAACTCCACTCTGTTGTCATCCAAGGCGAGACCAGGAACGCCTCCCCCATACACGAGTAGATTCGGAGGTTCGGCGTCTTTCGTCTGCTTCTGCTTTTTCTTGAGCGTCGATTCCTGCAATCCAGAGACGTCGCTCGTAGGTTCCACCGCTAGCAGCGTCGTCTTGGCCCGCGAGAAGCGGCGAGACTGTGGCGTCGCTGGCTCGTTCTCGTACGGCGCTGAGTCCCCCAGCATCAGCAGGTCTTAAGAGGCACAAGAAGGTTAGGGCGATTTAGATGAGGCGAGAGAAGAGACGGATGACGACGCCACCTTCGTCCAGACAGACTTTGGTCAAGATGCAGCCCATTCGACCGGCGCTGTTACGCTTCAACTTAGGCGATGGATGAAGCGCAAAAGGCGAGACAGCCTGAAACGACCAACCGCGGGGCTTTATAATTGAGTTTTTGATATGAGAAGCTGCGTTTTGTGCCTGATGCTGTCAGTTTGAAAATTGCTGGATACTGGCAGTATCATCATACTCACGCAGTTGGCAGCTGCGGCGGAGTAGTCATTGTCAATGACTTGTATTAATACTTTATACCATGCTGCATGCAGCTGGGTGAGTCGGAATGAAGTAAGTGTTTAGCCTCAACTCGAGGGAAGCTTGTTTTACTGTACATGTACATGAAGTCAATGCCCCATATCCACAGTCTGCACGGAAATTATACTGAACGAAGGCAGGCTTGCTGAAACAACGAGCCGGTCCAGGTGTGCAAGCATGGATTAGGTGGTAATGGAGCGATTCCCGCAGCTCAGATTGCCGCCACAGACCTAAATCTGGGACGTCATCCCAGAATCTAGAAAAGCGGCTCCACCCGCAACAATCTGGCAACCACCTTAACTCAGATTTTACGCAGTCGCAGCGACGAAGGAAGAGGGTACTCCGTGCTCGTACTTGAGCTCACCGTCGCCAGACTCACTAGGGCTGATTTGAGAAAACCTTACAAATGAGGATACGTGAAAATCATACGACCATAATGATCATATACATACATGTAAACGAACATGATATGTACATGTATTGTCAATTCCAGTGAAAATTGGATACCGAGGGTGATTGACGGATAAGCTGAAAAATCAACACTTAGATATGATTCGTCAAAACTCACCAGCTGCAACTTCGAGCTGCGCACTCGAAAGCAGAAACCGCACTGCGTACGCATCCACTTGTGCGGTGCTCTGTGTGACCAGGTTCGTGCTATCATTATTAAGACACGTCCTGCACAAATTCCTGATTAGCTACCTATCTGATTGAGTATTGATCGACGCTAAGACTCGTAACTCACATTACAGTCGACTGGATCACATCAGAAGCATGGAAAACAAGCAGCATGCACATCCCAACACAATCTTGGTTTGTAACGGGGTACGTAGCCCTAAGTGTACCCTGATTACATGAAGTGTGACACTTCACACTTCAGGTGTATGACACGTCATACTCCGGGATATTTGGTACAAGGTACCAAGGTCGTTCAAAGCCAACCATTGGTCAAACGACATTGCATTTCTATAGGTAACTTATAGTTTGTATTAAACCCAAGCTTAACCTACCTATAAATATACTCAGTTTACAATCTACCTTATTTAGGTCACTTCGCTCTCTTTAAATAAAGAGGGGACCTGTGAACTGCCGTTCACTGAGAGTTTGTATACTCTCGGAAGATAACTTCCTCTAGCGCAAGGTGCTGTGTGACCCCGTCACACTTGGTAGCACTTGTAGTCAATCCACGCCACCGCGGGTAGACTACCTGAACCTCTCCGAAGTTCGTTGCCATGGATAGGAACGACTTCTCCCATATGAACGACTCTCAGTTCGAGTCGGTTCGGAAGATGGCAGGCATCTTCGGGATGGAAACCCTGCAGAGCCTGGTGGTGTCAACACCGGCTGAGCAGCTCGAGCGCGTCAATGCATTCGACGCGTACGAGCAGGGCCTCATCGCGCATGTGCGGGAGAACCTGCAGGCTCCGGCGCGGAAACAAATCCGCCTCACCCGAAGCCAATACGGCTGAAGGTTAAGCCGTATGAAGGGAAGGAAGGCGAGAACCTTCACTTCTGGGTCCGAGAAGTAGAGCTCGCGATGGACGCGGCTCTGATCTCGACCGAGCAACTGCGTGTTGCCTTTGCCCTCTCCAACCTTAGCAGCCGTGCTAAGCGTTGGGTGTACACACGGGAAGCAACATCCCCTGGATGTTTCACATCCTGGGCTCAGCTGTGCGAACAGCTTCGAGCCGCGTTCCTCCCGGCGAACTACGAGTACTGCCAGCGTTCGCGCTTCCTCTCGTGTAAACAAGGGAGGCGTGAACTGCACGAGTACGTGTAAGAGATACGGGAGCTCACGGCGTCCCTAGTGGGAAACCCACTCAACGAACACATCAAGATGACTGTGTTCATGGACGGCCTTCGAGTGGGCCCCGCACGCACTCAGCTGTTCCGGGTGCAGTCAAGCACCCTTGAAGAGGCGATTCAAGTTGCTCTCCAAGAAGAGTACAGCCATCGCCAGGCGCGTACGCCGGCCTCAGCATGGCCTGGGAGTTCCTTGTCGGCTCCCGGTCGAACAATCCCCAACGGACCAGTTCCCATGGAACTCGAGTCCGCCGAACAGCGTGACATCCGCTGCTTCGGCTGCGGGAAGATGGGCCACTTCAAGCATGACTGTCCCGCGGAAAGACTCCGCAGACGGTCCTTCCCCAAGCCCGTCCTCAAGGGTCGCTGGCAGAAGCCAGAATCCCGGGGACAGGGGAACGCCCGAGACCAGTAGGGGCGGGGCGCCCTACTGGGGAAGAACTAAGTCTTCGTGATGGGTGCGCGGGTGGCGCGTACCACGGGGACTTAGCCCCTGAGAGTCTTCGCACTCTCGAATCGGCGAAGAGCAGCGGCGGGTTGCTCGTAGTACACGGATGTGTACGGGGATACGATCATCCCTTTAGAATCTTGATTGACTCTGGGGCGTCGAAGAATTTCGCACGCCGCCAGACGGTTGCTCGCAATAGCAACAAGTTGTCCGATGCTTTGAGAGAAAGCAAGGGCAACGGGACGGTGTCAGTGCGACTGGCCGACCGGAAGGTCGTCACTGTTCTCAACGTCCAAGTGGATCTGGCCGTCAAGTTTGAAGACTTTGACAGCCTCGAACAGTTCACTGTTCTTGATATGGATCCATATGATATGATCCTGGGCATGCCCTGGCTTGAGAAGCACGAGCCCTAGATCGACTGGCGAGGCAAGGCAATCGGTGCCAGCCGCCCTGCGCAGTCCGACAGAGCATTGGTGAGTCATGTTCCCACCTCTGTCAGGACCCGGGACGCCAGCAAGGGTTGTCAGGGTACCAAAGCATCCGGCAGATGCTTGGGAGTCGTCGACGTATATGACGACTCCAAGGATGTTTTGATTGTGGCAGCGCCCAGAAGAGGCGCTGGCCAAGTGGGTAACTTAGGTCCACAGGCGGGTAGCTTAGTTCCGCAGACAGCTGCAGCTGTCACGAACACTGAGAACAGCGTGTTCAGAGTGGATAACAGAGTTCCACTCACGGTCGCCCAGACCTTAACTGAAGAGGAAGACGTCGGATACGCTTCCTGTGTGGGTAACACAGTGCCACACGCGGTCGCCTAGACCTTAACTGAAGAGGATGGCGTTGAACACGCTTCCTGTGCGGGTAACACAGTACCCCACGCGGTCGCCCAGACCTTAACTGAAGAGGAAGGCGTCGAACACGCTTCCTGTGTGGGTACTGTGGTGTAGCGGGATCAGCAAAATCTGCGAGATTGCCGGATCCAACTTACCAACTGCGCCCAGACACCAACTAACGGAGGGGTCTCCCGATGATCCGTGTTCTGCTGAACTTTCCTCACCTTGTGTACCCGTCGGTAGGGCGGGATCTTGCTCTCTCGGTAACTTCCGAAGAGTTCAAGTGGTGAAGCTTGAGTGTCTTGGCGAGACGTGGGGCTGGGGTGGAGAAGCAGTGGAAAATCTTCACTCTGCGTCCGTGGATGGTTCCGTATCCTAAGCGAATATTCGAGCTTATGGATCCGGGGCCTAGATCGTGGATCTGGCCGTAGGGTTGCCTTGCGGGTGTGTTCCCTTGCCTTTGTAGTTCCTTTGCGTCGTACTTGCCGCCTCCTGTGACGGGATCTTGAGAGTTGAGAACTTCTAGGGTGTAACCGACCAAGTAGTAAATTCGGTTAACCTGTCCGATCTGCACAAGTAAAGGAAAAGCTCACTAGGCTGTAGGATCTGGCCAATGTATTATCCAGCTATCGCTACCAACACTAGATTCGCAATTCCCAACCTTCTTCGAGCTCGTACGGCCAATATAGTTCCGGTTCTTGAGGGCAGGAAGGCACTTGCGTGTTACTGTGCAAATTGAGTTCTGTATTGATACTTAAGCCTATACCTGCCTGGATCTCTACCTTCTATGTCTTTCCCTCGTTAAATCCGTTACCAGGCTCGGCTGCATGTCCTTTCTTCTCTTGACCCATCATCCCAGCTGTATTATCTTCAGATCCACCGGATCCATGGCGTAATCATTATGGTCACCCTATTATGGGTACACTCGTTCGGATCCAGGTCGCTTGGATCCACTTCACTGTAAGTGTACACTCGTCGTGGATCTGAGCTCTCCAATCATCCAACATCATCTCGCAACCGTCTGTGATCTCCATTGTCCCACGAAAGTTCGAGATCCACTGCATCCATCATCCCTATACCCTGGATCCAGGTCCCTCAAGGCGGGATCCTCCCTCCTTGGACCCGAACTCGGAAGTATGGGATCCGGAGTACCTCGCGGTGGATCTTGACTCCTCATTAGCCGTGGCTACTAGATCCACCTTCTGACTCCTCATTAGCCGTGGCTACTAGATCCACCTTCAGAGGGCACCTACCATCCTCCCTTCATAGGATCCACACCCGATCCACTCTTGTATAGTATATCCCATATCCATCTTGGTGAATCCAGGTAAGGGTGGATCCGAGGTAAGTCTTGGTGGATCTTGCCTTCTCGTACATCATACCAGATCCATCGTCATTTCATACGGGGTGCTGCTCGTCATGGCTAATCCACCACAGGCAACTTGCATCCGTGCCAGCCAACCCAAATCCTCTCTAATCACTTGAAATTATCACTGATTCGGGATAGTGACCCCGCGTCAGGCCCATTCTCTTATTTCTGAAAAAGCACTTCACCACAATCGCCTCCTGTACGCTGTCGGCGCTGCACAACAGCGTTCACGGCGTGCATTACCAGCATCCACAACCGCTTTCTCCCCTTCGCGACACATGTCTCCCGCCAAGCGTTTGGTCAGATCCCTGCAACTAGCACAACGGCGACAGGATTCGGCTTTGGAGCCAAGCCAGCGACTTCAGGCACTGGCTTTGGATTCGGAAGCGGAACTGCCACAGGAACAGGCGCTTTCGGAACAACTGGAGCGACAGGATCGGTCTTTGGCACTACTCCTGGAGCTCCGTCCACGTTTGGTGCAGCCCCCGCTGCCTCGACTGCTCCAGCCCCAATCATCCTTGGCGCTGACGCTTCAGTTGCTCAGCTTAACACCGTCAAAGCAGCGTATCAGGACCCAGCACAGTCGCGGTTCAAGTTCCTCATGTACAACACAGTGGACCCGACGCAGCGACACCTGTACACTCGACCAGCACACATTAGTGAGCGTCTGTGGAACCAGGCCGAGCTGGACAACCCAGACCCGCTGAACTGCGCTCCTGTACCCATTTTAGGCTTTGACAGCCTGTTGAAACGAATCAAGGCACAGCAGGAACATGCTGACAAGTACAACACGTACACGGAGGACCTACGAGAGCAACTTAAGGAGATGGACAAGCACACACGAGCTACAGAGGAAAAGCTGGAGAAATGTCGCCACGAACACGTGCAGCTGTTCCACGCACTTGTGCAGGTCATGAGGGATATCGAGTTGCTGCAGAATTACGGCAAACCGCTGCAGCGTGAAGAGATGCAGCTAGCGTACGTCTGTTGTCTGTCGAGGAGCCATGCTGAGCACGTCTTGATACTAACGTTGGGATGCTGTTGTTGTGCACAGGATGATGTTGAAGAAGCTGCAGACATTGCTGGACTCGCCTGGCCAGTACAAGGCACGACTAAACGACGCTGTGTCACTGCAACGCGTCCAGAAGGAGACGCAGTCTTCCCCCGTCCAGCCAGCTCAGTCCGCAGGACTTGCAGCGACTTTATGAGGTGGGTACAGAGAAAC